AACCCCTACTTTGGACTGCTCAAGACAAGTGCAAGTACAAAAAGGCTGCTTGCCAGGCGTGATGGCGCATGCCTGTAATCCCAGCACTCGGGAGGCTGAGGCAGGAAAAAAAAAAAAAAAAAAAGAACAGCCTGGGCTACAAAGTCAGCTAAAGACCAAAAAAAAGAAAGCCAAGGTTGTGAGTGCCTCGTAACCTTTTGTTCCCCAAAGAACTGGTCATCCCAGATCCCTGCCGCACCGACATTTCTGTCTCTTGCTCTTTTTTTTGTTTTTGTTTTGGTTTTTTTTTCCGGTACCAGGAGTTGAACTCACGACCTTGCGCTTGCCAGGCAGGCACTTTGCCACTGAGCTAAATCCCCAGCCCCTGGTATGGTTTTCTTTTCTTTTTTTTTTTTTTGGTTTTTGCTTTCTTTCCTGCCGCACAGCTGGCAGGAGAATGGGGACTTACTACAGGGGTCCCCAGTAACCAGCACCGTGGAAAGAGTCTCTAATACACTGTCTTCAGGACAAAGGGAAAGTATAAGAAGGGAGTCAGCCACAAACTTCCTCAGTAATTACTAAGAGAGAGAGGCCGTCAGAATCTCCCACTTTTCCCTTTCCTTTGTTTTTGTTTTGTTTTTTGAGACAGTCTCACTATGCAGGACAGGTTGACCTTGAACCTACTACAGAGCCCAGACTGGCCTCAAACTCAGGAGCTCCTCCTGCCTCAGCCTCCCGAGTGCTGGGATTGCAGCGTGCCCTACGAAGCCCAGCTTCCCTTTCTTATCTTTAAAAGAAGAACTAGATTCTGGCTCATCAATACCACAAAATAAACAGTTAGATCACGGTAGCTTTAAGGCACGCCCTTGCCACACTTGCCGCCTCTGTGGGTCTTTAGCAGAGAATGCCAGGTCCCTGCAGCTGGGCAGCCTGTGAGCAGCAGCGACCCAGCACTCCCGTTCACCAGGAAACCCGTGTCCTTGCTGGCCACCTGTGCTCTCTCCAAATGCTGGTCCACTGCCATGAACAAACACTGGTGAGGAAAATCCAGAGTCCGCTCCTTCGTATCTGCCCTCCTTTACCTGCACATCTGTTCAGATTAACAGAATTGCTGAGTAAATATGTGAACATGTGCTACTCATTCTACGGAGCGCTTGGCTTTTTTGTTGGAAGACAAGGTCTCACTTTGTAGCCCAGGTTGGCCTTGAACTCAGAGATCCTCCTGCCTCAGCCTCCCAAGTGCTGGGATTACAGGCGAGCACCACCCCATCTGGCAAGGTCCTGGCTTTTGTTATTTTTGTTGTTGTTTTTCGTTTTTCTTCCAGTACCAGGAATTGAACTCATGACCTTGCGCTTGCCAGGCAGGTGCTTTGCCATTGAGCTAAATCCTGAGCCCCAAGGTCCTGGCTTTTAAACAAAGTGCTAAAATCTTCCTAGTCTTGGGGCCTTTAGAATAAGGTCCAGGGCATTGGGAACCTAAGGAGCATGAGGGTTGTGGCCCCATGAAGGGCACTCATCACTGCCCACAGAGGTTCAACTGCAGGGCCTTGTGAGGAGGAGAGGCCAGCCACAGTCACACGTGGAAGTCAGCTGCAACCAAAAAGCAAATCCAGCCAACTCAAGTTACACTGATGGAAGAAAACCATGGTGGCACCCAAAATTCTGACTGGCTATGTGTGGTGGCGAACATCTGTTATCCTAGCACTCAGGAGGCTGAGGCAGGAGGACCACTGCGAGTTTGAGGCCAACCTGGGCTACACTGACCCTGTCTCAAAAAACAAAACAAAACAAAACAAAAAAACCTGCCTACGGGAGAATCCATAGATTGATTGCTATCTTCAAGCCTTGACACGTCTTATTTCTTGGCTGCAAGCCGAGCCTCGCCTCTGCGAGAGAAACGAGGCCCACGGAGGGGGTGGGGTGGGGGGAGAAAGCTGGCTCTGGCCTGGTGGATCTTGATCCCAAATTTGCATTTGCATCTCCCTGTCCCAAGCAGTATCAGTACCTTTCGGAACCCAAGACACTCCCCAGTCCCCAGGGTACCCCCTCAGCCACCTCCGATGGGCCCGCCACCGAGGAAGCACCGCCGGCCTCAGCCCCCAGGGCCTCCTCCCCGTCCCCGCCCGCGGCCGCAGTCCCAAGGCCTCCGTGGGCACCTCGGCTCAGCTTTTCCCTGTCTCTGCTCCCGCCCTCGGAGGCGCTCCCCATTGGTCCCCGGGTTCCTCTACCAGCTCTCTAATTGGCTTCGCTCTCTGGAAACTCCAACCAATGATGTCTCCGCGTTTGTCTCCCTCCTCCAATCCTGGAAGCCCATTGGTTCCGGGGACTCGGACGTGTTCGCTTGCCCGGGTCCCTGGCAAATCCTTCCTTCCGGGTTTGGACCTCGGCGCTGGGACTTTGGTTCCGAACTCGGCGGAACCGGGGCCGGCGACGCTGGGTCACGTGGCCCGAGGCTCCCATGACGCGTGGGCTGCGGGGCGTCACGGCGACGTTCGGGCGACCTCCCGGGTGGCCCGGCTACCTCCGCCAGCTGTGCGGCCGCGGTGCTGTCATGGATCTGGGACCCATGCGCAAGAGTTACTGTGGGGACCGCGAGGTGCGGGCCGGGGTCCGGGTCTCCTGCGAGAGCGGGGAGGGCCGCGGCTTCGGGGCCACCGCGGGGAGCCAGGGGCGGGGTGGCCCGGTGGGAGGATGGGGGTCAGGGGACAGGGGTCGAAGGTGGGGCCCTGGGTAGGAATCCAGCCCTTGAGTGGCAGTGTCCCGTGTGCGGTGTCGGGCTTCCCTTTCCCACGGGGGTGCTGTGGACATAGATATTTGAAAAGCAGTTTATGAATGTTTGATAAATAAAATAAGTAGCTGGGCGTGATGGTGCCCGCCTGTCATCCCAGCAATCAAGGAGGCTGAGGCAGGAGGATCACAAGTTTGACTTCAACCTGGACAGTTTCCTGACGTCACGAGACTGTCTCACAATTTTATTTTAATCGTTTTGCTTGGTTTTGGTTTTTTTGAGATAGGGACCCACTGTGTAGTTCAGGCTGGCCTTGAACTCACTATGGAGCCCAGGCTGGCCTCGAACTTGCAGCAATCCTCCTACCTCAGCTTCCCGAGTGCTGGGATGACAGGCATGCACTCCCAGGCCCCGCTGATGTCTCATAATTTTAAAAATGGCCGGGGGCTGTAGCTCCGTGTGAAGGGCCTGCATTTGAGCCCCGGGTTCAATGCCCAGTACGCAAAAGATACAAATAAGAAAGACGTGGGAGGCAGGGCTTCAGCTCTCAGGATGGCGGGAGCTCTGTGCCTCCTCCAGGCGAGGCCCGGAGAACTTTTTGGACTTGGGAATCCTGAGCTTCACTTACACAATCAGGTCCCATGCGCATTTGCAGAGAAGCTTGTTTAAAATGCAGTTATTGATTAAACCTTAGCCCCGTGTGGAGACTTAAAGGGTACAGCCCAGGTCTTTTATTTTTCAGCTCCTCCATCATTTGCATCTGATACCCGGATGCCCCTGCCATTCCTTATTGGATATGCCACTCAGAATTTGGCCTTTTTATGCCTGTTTCATCACCTGGAAAGTGGGACACAGCACCTACTTTCTGGGTACTGTTTTTTGTTAGTTTATTCTCATTCTCTGTCTCTCTCTTTCTCTTTCTCTCTTTCTGGTCTCACTATGCAGTCCAGCCTGGTGTTGAACTCACAATGTAGCCCAGGCTGGCCTTGAACTCAAAGTGATCCTCCTGCCTCAGCCTCCTGAGTGCTAGGATTGCAGACATGTACCACCATAAGAACAGAATGACGGCCGGGGATATAGCTCAGCGGCACAAGTGCCTGCCTGGCAAGAGCAAGGTCCTGAGTTCGATTCCCAGTACCAAAAAGGAAAAAAAAAAAGAATGAATTAATATTTGGAAAGTCCTTAGAGCCAGGAGTAGTGGTGCACATCTGTAATCCCTGCACTTGGGAGGCTGAAGCAGGAGGATCTCTTCAAGTTCAAGGTCACTCTGGACTCCATAGCCAGACCCTATCTAAAAAACAAAAAAAAGGGCTTAGATCGGGGCCAGGTACATTGTGTGCACTTCATGTCGTCCTGAATGAGTAAAACTCTCTCCCCAGGCCTTTGAGGAGACTCACCTGGCCTCGCTGGACCCCATGAAGCAGTTCGCTGCGTGGTTCGAGGAGGCTGTCCAATGTCCTGACGTAGGGGAAGCCAACGCCATGTGTCTGGCTACCTGCACGAGGTAGGCGCAGCTTTGGGCCTCTGTGCAGCTGGATACAGAGGTCAGAGCCGAGGAAACTCTTCCTCAGTTCAGTGGAGGCCAGCCTTGTGTTTCCCGCTCTGTTATTAAAATGCTGTGTGGCCTCAGGCACGTTACTTGTCTTCTCTGGGCCTCAGTCTCCTTAGCTGTAAGCCAAAGAACAGGCCACTAAGTCCCATTTTGGTGATAAATGCAGTGCCTTGTGCATCTCTGTTCTCTTGGGTTTTTTTTTGAACTAGGTCTTGCTGTGTTGCCCAGGCTGGCTTTGAACTTTCAATCCTCCTGCCTCAGCCTCCTGAGTGCTGGGATTATAGATGCGTACCACCACCCCTCGATGCGTGTAACCGCTTGCCCACCTTGTCTCCCTGTCTGCCCAACAGCTCCATCTCAGCCAGATCTCGTGGCACAAGCCTGTCATCCCAGCACTGTGGGAGGCTGAGGCAGGAGGATCCCAAGTTTGAAGTCAGGCTGGGTAATTTAGGAAATTAACAAGACCCTGTCTCAAAAATGTAAAATGGCTGGGAATGGAGTTCAGTGCAGAGGGCCTGTGTTCCATCCCAGCACCCCCATAACTGCATCTTGGGGACCACTGCGTGAATGAAGCTCAGTCCCTCGCAGCTTCAAGCCCAGCGCTCAGCTCAGCCATCTGCCATCGGCTATGTGCCCTCTGGGCATGTCTCGCGGCAGCCTTCCATTTCGCTCTTGCCCCTCCGCTAAAGCCCGAGGCTTTGAACTTGGGGCCCCTGCGCACCCCTAGGGTCCCCTGAGGTGGCCGGAGGACCTGACCTCAGAGCACACCGTGAACTGTGAGCCCTGGCTGCACCAGGCCGGCCCCTGTCCGTGCCGTTAGTTTGCTGCAGCTGCCCTAACAAAATACCCTCCATGGGCCGCTTACACAGAGGCAGTTTGTTTACAGTTCTGGAGGCTGGAGTCCGAGGTCAAGGTGCTGGTTGGTGTCTCCCGAGGCCTCTATGCGCCGCTGCCTTTCCCTGGGTGGCTGGGGTACCCCAGGGCTCTGACACCCCTGCTCTGTACCAGGGATGGGAAGCCCTCCGCCCGCATGGTACTGCTGAAGGGCTTTGGCCAGGACGGCTTCCGCTTCTTCACCAACTTTGAGAGCCGGAAAGGAAAGGAGCTGGTGAGCACCCACAGTTAGTCCCAGACCCTCCGCCCCCCTCCCAAGGCCTGCTCCCCTCCGCCGCTCCCTCCTGCCCCCGGGCCTTTGCACCTGCCCCTCTCTCTGCTGGGAACCAGTGAGCCACCTGTTCCTGCTCTCAGCCCAAGTGCTGCCTCCTCCGACAAGCCTTCCTTGACTGACCCCGTGTGAGGCCTGGTGCTGTGCACTGTCCTCGTAACTTGCAGCTTCCTTCTCTGCCAGGTGTAGAGTTTGTGACTGCATTTTAAGGACATGGTAGGAGATTACTGTTGGTCTCCTCCCCCACAGCGGAAGCTCTGTGGGAGGAGAGGCCGTGTATTTCTCTGTTTCCCCCGCACCTCTCCATGTTGCACACGGAGCTGGCACTTTGTGTCCGTGCTCTGAACGAGCCCAAGATGAATCCCCCCCCCCCTGCATCCGTGCCAGCCCAGCACGCAGTGCCCACGGGCCCTGGGTGAGAGACGTGGCCAGGCCTGACTTTGGAGCCAGACTCCTCGAGCCCAGCTCTGCCGCTTCCTGTGTGAGCTCTGGTGTGTTACTCACCCTCTCTGAGCCGACTCCACAACTGTGACAGTAGGTCTGCTTTTGGAGTTGTGTTTTTGTGTTTTTTTGAGGTAGAGTCTCCCTATGTATCCAAGGCTGGCCTCCATCTAGCGATGATCCTCCTGCCTCAGCCTCCCAGTGCTGGCAGGACAGGTGTGCACCACCACGCCCTGCTTTCTTTGAGGGTTTAATGAGGTGCGGCAGTCAGTGCAGCCACAGGACCTGGTCCTGCGCCCCCCGCCCCCGCATGCCCGTGCCGCTGCCCGGCCTCATGGCTGCCCCTGGCCTCCCTGTCGTTTCCAGGACTCCAATCCGTTTGCCTCCCTTGTCTTCTACTGGGAGCCTCTTCACCGCCAGGTGAGTGAGCGCCCGGCACAGCCCCGTGAGTGGCAGGGGCGACTTTATGCCCCTGGGACCGTGCCCACACGGGCACACACCCTGCCGGGCCTGGCACTCGGTCCGCTCGCGCTGGAGCCGGGCGTGGCGGGCAGGGCCAGGGGCTCCACCACCCACCCAGGCCGCCTGTGCAGGTGCGTGTGGAGGGCCGGGTGCAGAGGCTGCCGGAGGCCGAGGCCGAGAGCTACTTCCACTCCCGCCCCAAAAGCAGCCAGATCGGGGCCGTGGTGAGCCGCCAGAGCTCCGTGATCCCCGACCGCGAGGTGAGTGGCGCCCGCACGCTCCCGGGCGCCGCACCGGGCTCCTGGGGCTCGCGCCTGCGCCTGCGTTCTCCTCGCCGAACCTGGCCGGGAGCCCGGTGCGCATGCTCAGTGGATCCTTCCGCGTGACTCATCCGGGCCGTCCTGTGCTCCTCTCCCGAACAGTATCTGAGGAAGAAAAACAAGGAACTGGAGCAGCTCTACCAGGACCAGGAGGTGCCCAAGCCGAAATACTGGTAAGTGACGCCTGGACCCAGGGACCCCAGGTTGGAATCACAGATCTTCCCCTCCTGGGAAGCATAGTCAGGCAAATGCCCAAGCTTCCTTCAAGAGAGCCGGGCGTGTCATCCCAGCACTTGGCAGGCTGAGGCAGGAGGATCGCGTGAGTTCCAGGCCAGCCTGGGCGAATCGTGAGACCCTGTCTCAAGAGAGCACTGGGGTGAGGGAGAGGCGCGTCACCCTCTGCTTCTCCGCTTCTCCTGGCAGGGGCGGCTACATGCTGTATCCGCAGGTGATAGAGTTCTGGCAGGGCCAGACGAACCGCCTGCACGACCGCATCGTCTTCCGGCGGGGCCTCCCCACAGGGGACTCCGTGGGACCCATGACCCGCTGCGGGGAGGAAGGCTGGCTCTACGAGAGACTGGCACCGTGACTCTGGCGTCACTAGTGACAGCAACGCGGGGCTCAGACGCCTCCCCCGCACAGCCTGTCCCTCCCTCCCTTCCCTTTACCCAAGCGGTCCCCAGCTGGGTCTCCACCACTGCCTCACAGAGAATCAGAGATGCGAAAGAAAAAGTCTCCATGGTTTTCTTGACCTTCCCTGTGGTTTTCCCTGTGACTTCCTCCCTGGTGAGCTGGTCCCCCAGCAGCCCTGTCTGTTGCCATGGGATTCATGCTACCTGAGCCAGAAGAGCCATGCAGACTTCTCATCAACAACTCACACTGTGAACCAGGCATGGAGATGCACACCTGTAATCCCACCATGCTTGGGAGGCTGAGGCAGGAGGATTGAAAGTTTGAGCTCTGGCTGGGCACTTTAGCAACTTACCGAGACCCTCTCCCAAAATGAAAAATACAGGTAAAATAATAATTTGACTTTGAAATGGGGAGACTCGGAGCCTGGGGAGTGGTGTGGTTAAGCTGTCCGTGGCAGCCCAGAACCGCAGCTCACAGGGCCACCCTGGGCCTCCTTCTGTCTGTGTGTGTTCCTCCTCCCACCTCAAAATGCCCCACTGTCTGTGCATTCTTTTTTCCCCTTAAACTATCCAGAATTGACTTATTCAAAAAAAGCCTCCCTTGAAGGATATTTTTATAGCCATTCTCCCACATTGATTGCTGCCTTTCATTGTTTGAAGCACAGCGATGTGGAAAAGAGATCTTTTGTGTGTGTGCCCGGAATCGAACTCAGGACCCTGTGCTTGCCAAGCAGGCACTTGTGCCATTGAGCTATACCCCCGGCCCAAAGAGATTAAATCTATTCCTTATATCACCATGGGCCCCTAGGTAGAAGTGACAGGGACTTCTCAGTATGAGGTGCCTCCTCCAGTTCCTCTCGATGCCTAGGAGGCGTGGGCTGTCTGCCCAGCAGCAAGGGTTCCGTCCCTCGGAGTATTCAATCCCAGCCAGACAGGGAGCGTCGGAAGGCCTTGTGTGCCGCTTCCTCAGGCCAGGACGACTTTAATCAAGCTTGCTGTCTTGTGTTCATTCTGTGGAAACCGTGTATATATGTGTGTGTGTGTCGGGGAGATACAAATATATGGATTCCATTTTCCAAAAATAAAATTATTAAAGGGATTTGCATTCCCCACCTCTCCTGGAGATGAGTCCTAGACCTCTGGTTTTCACCCGCACTGGGGAGCTTTATTTCTTTTATTTATTTATTTATTTATTTCCAGTACCGGGAATCGAACTCATGACCTCACACTTGCCAGGCAAGCGCTGTGCCGCTGAGCTAAATCCCCAGCCCCTGGAGAGCTTTAAAAATCTGGATCGCTGCCCCCATGGAGACATCCCAGATCTGAGTGTGGCCTGGGCCTCCCAGGGAAGTCTGTGCATCCACATGGGGGCGTCCTGGCCTTGGATCCTGACTACTCGCCTCATGGTCCTCGGGCCAGCCCCGCAGTGTCACTTGGGAGGCGATCTGCGATGCAGCTCTTGGTTCCTCCCAGAGCCACTGGACCCAGTGCGGAATTTTGACAGCCAGGCACCAGATGCACCGCCCAGTCTCTAAACCAGAGATGCGCTCACCCTCACCACCTGCACCCCCTCCACAGCCCTCCTGTTGAGATGCATTTGCTTTTTTGGTTTTTGAGACAGGGTCTCATTACATAGTTCAGGCAGGCCTTGAACTCACCATGTAGCCCATGCTGGCCTCCAAGACACAGCGCTCCTCCTGCCTCAGCCTTCCAAGTGTTGGGCTCACAGGCATGCGCTACAGCGCCCTGCGCATTTGCTTCCTTGAGCACAAGCTGCTATGCTGAGACGTGGGCAGGCGGCCTGGTGCCGTGGACAGCAGCCAGGCTAGTAAATGTTTGCTGTGACCAAGCCAGGAGCTGAGAACGACTTCTTGGCACCGCCTGGCCTTGAACTTGCTCCTCTCTCGGCTGCGCCCCGACGATGCGCATGCGCTGTGGCACCTCCAGGGCCGCCCTGCCCGTTCACTCCTCTGCGTGCCCTCGGGCGCTTGGATCCTGGGGCGCCCTTACCCGCCCAGCCTTATGCCCTGGGCTGTGACGCAGGTGCGTAAGAGCGGGTGTGTGCGTGGAGAGGTGCCGCCCCCGCCTTGCTGCGGGGGACCGCGTGCCCCCCTCCCGGCCATGACCCCGCTCCCAGATGTTCCTTCAGCTCCCTGCTCACCGTGCCCGGTGCGTAATGACGGCCCGCAGCCCCGCGCGCTAACGTTTAACCTGGGCTTCTCCGCCTTCCTCCGCCCGGCTCCGCGCGCTGCGGCTCGGTGCCCGGCAGGGGGCGCCGCTGCCTCTCCGCACCCGGGCGGTCCCTCCCGGCCGGCCTCCCGCTTCCTCCTTGGGCCGCGTCCCAGGGAAACCCGGCTCGGTGACCCGCAGCCCCGCGCGGCTCCGGCACATGTCTGCATCCTCAGTTCCTCCCTCGCCTCTGATCTGAAATCCTGCAGCTGCCGGGCCGCCCGTGTCACCCCAGCCGCGGGACTCCGGGCTGCCGTCGGGGCGCCGCACCCCAAGGGCAGGGCCCCAGGACCCTCTTCCTGGAGAGAGCGCAGTGATGCCGGAGTAGGTAGCCGTGCAGGGACAGCGCTAGGGAGGACCTGAGTCAGCGCCCAGGGCCGTGCTCATCCCTGCCTGGGAGCCCCAGGATGGACCCCGGTCCGCCCGGACCCCCTCCCGCCCTCTCCCGGTCCCCCGCAGATGAAAACCCACCGGGGAGCCCCTGTGGCGCAGGGGTCAGGTGCGTGGCAGCTCGGATTAACCGCCCGGTCCTGCCCACTGTACGTGGTTAATGGGGCCAGGGCTGTGAACGTGAGCCCCCTCCCAGCTCCTCCGAGCTCCTCCGAGGGAGACTTGTGGGAGCCCAGAAAGCTTTGTGCAGTGGGGACGGGAAGAGGCCTGGGGGAGGCAGACCCCGAGCCCCCTTCTGACGCCCTCTCTCCTCTCGTTCCCCCGGCCTAGGCGAAGCATCTAACAAAGGCCCCCTTGTCCAGGCCTGTTTGTTTTGGCCATGAATTTCTCCAGTAACAACTTCCGGGGTGGGGTGGCCCCCCAGCCTACAAGGAGCTGACCTAGAAGCTGCAGGACCGCATTGTTCCCTGGCCACCGTGGGCTCTGCCTGTTCCCGCCGTGAGCTCTCCAGAGATACAGAAATTTCTTCCAGTTCCTGGCTCTGTGGCTTGAGAAAGAGCCAGACCTGACACTCTTGGAAGGGAGCGCTTGTCTTGTTCCTAAACTGACGCTGTGGAGTGGTGGCATTCCAGAATAAAGGGAGGGAAAAGGAACCAGTATTTAACTAAGCATCTACTATGGAGCTGCTACAGGCCACTTTGTACCAACCACTTTTTATGAAACTTTTTTTTTTTTAAATTTTTTTGTCTTTTTGAGACAGGGTCTCGCTATGCAGTTCAGGCTGGCTTTGAATTCACTATATAGCCTAGACTGGTCTTGAACTCGCATCGATCCTCCTGCCTCAGCCTCCTGAGTACTGGGATTACATGCATGCGCCGCCACACTTGGCCTTGAAATAGGTTTTATACAGTTGCTCTTAGGAAGGAAATTAGGCTCAAAGGAGCCTTTACAAAAATGTTCCCAAGGTCAAACCAGGTGTGGTGGTGCATGTCTGTAATCCCAGAACTTGGAAGCTGAGGCAGGAGGATCACCATGAGTTTGAAGCCATCTTGGGCTACACAGTGAATTCAAGGCCAGCCTGCACTACATAGTGAGACTGTAATCTTAAAAAGAAAGAAAGATAGGAAGGGAGGGAGGAAGGAAGGAAGGAAAGGAAGGAAGGAAGGAGAAGAAAAGAAACAAAAGAAGGAAGAAAGAAAGAGAAAAAGAAAAATTCAGGCATGGTGATACATGCGGTCATCTCAGATTCGGGGGCTTTGGCAGGATCACTGAGTTTAAGGTCAGCCTGAACTACAGAGTGTGACGTTATCTCAAAAAAAGAAAAAAAAAAGGCAGCCACCTCCATGAACGCAAGGTAGGAACATACATGTGTCCTCTGCCCTTGCATCTTTGTTTATTACAAAGAAACCCACAATTACCTTTTAAAGAAAATTCGAAGCTCCAGAATCCATGTCTGGGGCTGATCCATCTTAAATACACGGGGAAGGAGAGGAGAAACCTCGCTGCTTTTAGCTCCTCCCGGCGCCACCGCCGAGCTGTGTGACTCAGCCCGCAGGAGGGGTGGCCCCGCGGGAACCCAGCGCCGAAGGCCTCGTGCGGCCGCGCAGGAGGTGCCCGGCCCCCGCCCCCTGCGCTTGGGTACAGAGTTCCAGGAAGTTCACCACCGCCGTTAAGATGTGAGCTCAAGTTCAGCACCTGCCCGGCACCAAGGAAACGGCCCCGCGGGTCACGCGGCTTCTGGAGGACGTGCGCGCCGGGGATTGGCCGGGGATTGTCGGGGACGCGCGGTGGAGACGGCAGAGCCGCAGCCTTCAGGCTCAGCGCGACCCGAGCCCAGGACAAGGCGGAGTCCGGGCGGGCGCCTGTCTCCGCCGCCCGCCGTGCCCTCCTTCCTGTGGCCCTGCCGCCACCCTGGGGACGGCGGGCACCATCCTGGGCCTGGGGGGCCTTCGCGTGTGGTCAGGGGTCGATGGGAGGGGCCCGCGCGCCCCCGCGGACACAGGGCTGGGGCCATAAATACAACCCTGAAAACCCACACTTCCTGCCAGCAGGCATAATGTCCCACGGCTTCCGCTGTGACCAAAGAGGCCAGCGTGGCGAGCCCCTGTCCACCCCGCTGAGGGCAGGGCCAGGGAGGCGCTAGCGTCCCCCAGGGCCCCCCTCACTGTCCCTTGTCCTCCGGGTCGTCAAAGAGGCCGGGGTTCTCGGCCAGCATGGCGCGCACTTTCTTCTTCTCCTTGAAGCGGCCCGAGTTGGACACCTTCACGTGCTTGCCCTTCGTGTTCTTGTCCACGATCTTCTCCAGCCGCGCGCTGAAGTCGCTGCTGGGGCCTCCGGCCTCAGGCCGCGGCGGCTCCGCGCCCCCCTCGGGCTGCGCGTAGGTCTCGGGCATCTCGTACAGCACCTTGGGCGTGGATTTCTTCTTCCGCAGGAAGGTCAGCTTCCACCAACCGACCTCCGTCATGGTGCTCGCTGTCCTGACGACGGGGCTTCCTGGGGGAGCAGGGTGGGGGACAAAGGTCAGCGGGAACACACTGGGTTCCTTTATAATCAGGGCTCTGTCAAGAGTTAAAGAACAGATCGAAGGGAGTGCCACAGAAGCCCCGGGGAAGCAGTGTGACCAGTGCTTTAGGAGACTATGAAGAGAAAAAAGGCCCGAGGAAAGGGCCACCAAAACGGACATCAACAGAGAAGCCTCTAGTTCGGGCAGGGTGTCCCACACCTGTCATCCCAGCACTAGTGAGGCTGAGGCATTAGGCTCGCCCTGAGTTCAAGGCCAGGCTGAGCTACGTGGTGACTTCAAACCAGCCTGAACTACACAGCAAGACCCTGTCTCCAAAACGAAAACAAACCAGGGAAGCCACTGAGCCAGACAGGGACAATGATACAACCACCACCACCACATCCTACAGAGCTGTCGGGAGCTTCGAGGCCGCCCCTTCCTGGATCGCGGCCTGCCTGGTCCAGGGACATCCAGGACTTCGGCACCATCGCCAGCCCTTTCCTCTCTCACCGCCGCGTGGGTTGACCTGCTGTGCATGCAGGAGAAATAAGATTTGTGATATCCCACGCCGTTCGGGTTCCCGGCAGTGACCCTCGGGGCTGAAGTCCTCGGGGCTTTTCCTAAGGGGGAGGCCTGGGAGTCACAGGCCGGGAGCGGAAGTCCTGGGCCCTGTGTGCCCTGGAGACCTGTGGCAAGTTACTTCTGTAGCCTCAGCTTCCTTCTCTGTCCCACCCGCCCTCAACATGTGCTCCTCCGTGGATCGCCGCACCCCGGGAGCAGGCAGACTTCGCCAAGTCACATTTGGGAGGGCAGCAGCGATTAGCAAGGGACGGCTCCCTTTGCTGCCAAGCTGCCCAGGGCAGCCTTCGAAGGGAGTGAGGTGGAGGTAGAGACGGGTGGAGAGGTGGCACCCCGGGCTGTACCCCTCTGCAAGGCAGCCGCTGGAGAGGAGTGCAAGGGGAAAGCCAGGCTCTCCACCCACGAGCTGTACCGGGGCTGTAGGAGCTGGGGGAAGTTCTGGGGCGGAAGTTGTCACGTGGGAGATGGGCACAGGGCACAGCAGGGTGGAAGGATTAAGCTCGATGACAGCAGAGGGACGATCATGTAAGTAAAGCACCGCCGAGCCTGGGGCAGTGGGGTCTAGTTCTCAGGACTCCTGGTGTGACTCCTCCAAGGAGCAGCGGACAGAGCTAAGGATACCAAAGCGAGGTGACCAGGTGGCCCAGGCTCCAGCAGGCAGATCACATCCTTTTAAAGCAGATGTCCGAATAGGCAGGTATGATGGCACACTTGGGAGGCTGAGGCAGGAGGATCCTTGGGAGTTCGAGACCAGCCTGGGCTACAAAGTGAGCTCAAGGCCAGCCTTGGCTACAAAGAGGCCAGCCTAAACTGTATGGTGAGACCTTGTCTGAAAAAGACAGAAAAAAAAAAAAAGCAGATATCCAGGCTGTGGGTGTAGCTCAGAGGCAGAGCCCTTGCCCCATGTGTGTGGCTCTGAGTTCCATTCTTGCACCGTAAAACAAAATCTGAAGCAAAAAGGATGGTCTTTTCTACATCTTGCAAAAAGAACCAGAAAGAAATCTGCCAAATGGGGCTGGATGTGATGGTGCATCCCTATGATCTAACAAACCAGGAGGCTGAGGCAGGATGAACACCGAGTCTGATCTTAGCCTGGGCAACTTAGGGACTGAGCAAGATCCTTAAAATAAACAGTAAAGGGCCGGGGATATAGTTTAGTGGCACAAGCACCTGCCTGGCAAGCTCAAGGGCCCACATTCGATTCCTGGTACCAAAAAATAAATAAATAAAGTAAACAGTAAAAAAAAAAAAAAAAAAGGGCTGGGGTGTAGCTTAGTATGAAGGGTCTGAGTTTAACCCTCAGGATCATAAATTTAAAAAAGAAAAAGAAATATGCCACATGATTATTAGTGATTTTCTTTATGCAGGAGGAAGTAAGAATGTCTTCTCCCCTTTGTTTTTTTGATTCCCAGACTTTCCCTAGTGAGTATGGCTGGGCACCATGGTGGCAGTGCATGCCTGTCATCCCAGCCCTTGGGAGGCTGATGCAGGAGGATTGCCATGAGTTTGAATTTGAGGTGAGCCTGAAATACAGAGTAAGACCTTGTCTCAAGGCCTGGGATGTAGCTCAGCGGTGCAAGCACCTGCCTCGAAAGCAGAAGGTTCTGAGTTCGATTCCCGGTGCAAAAAAACAACAAAAAAAAGGATTTTAAGCACCTATGTGGCAAGTACAAGGTCCTGAGTTCAATTCCCGGTACAGAAAACAAAACCTTGTCTCAAAACAAAACAAAACAACAAAACACGTATGGGCATCTTTAGCCGGGCACCAAACCCAGCTAAGGACAGACAAAGGCTGGGGAGGAGCTGAGAGTCTGCATTAGCTGCCTCCTTGCTGCGCCCCCCACACATGCCGCCTTCCTGAGCTCAGCCAAGGGCCCCCTCCTGCCCGTTTGTCCAGTAAGCAGACCCCGCGTCGCCTACTCTGCCCCTTCTGCTGGGCTCACATAGCACGAGAAGCCCTGGGGAGACCCTGTGCGCCCACTGGGAGGGCGAGGGTGAGGGGTGAGGAGCCCTTGGGCCGGGTGAGAGGTTTGCTTTGGCAGCGCGCCCCACCCCGCCTGGGCTTAGCACTGCCTTGCACAGGACGCGGTGTTCCGGGAGGGCTCCACAAGGGGTGCTGGGGAGGGCAGGAAGGAGGAACGGGGGCCGGCATGGTCTGTGGGTGCCCCGGTCACTGCCTTAGTGGTGCCTTGACCCGGCCGCTGTCATCTGCAGGGCCAGAGGGTCGGGCCACAGAGGGACGGACAGCCAGCTCCTACGCCTGCTCTAACCAGGCCATTTCCTGGTCCCTGGTGAGCACACAGCCCCTGCCTGAGCCTGTGCGAATGCACCTGCTGAGGTGGATCCGTGGGGTTTCCAGCTTGTGGCCCGAGGGTCTGACTCTCCTGGAGGGGAGGGAGCCCCAGGTCCCAGGAGCTTGGCACAAAACCATGGAGACAGGAGTAGCCTTGTGTCCGGCTTTGGACCCGAGACCTCGGTGGCCTGGGGCCCAGGACTGGTCCTCTCATCTGTCTAGGGTGCTCTTCTGGGGCCTTCCGGCCCCTCTGTCCAGGTCACCTGAACCTCAGCAAGCAGATGTCTGTCCCTGTGGACACAGCTAAGGTGCGGAAAGTGACCTCACCCGACAGGTGGCTGGGGGCAAGTCTGTCTCACACCATCGTCCGGCTGGAGGAATCTTTCAAGAGTGGGCATAAAAGACAGTGTGAAATTCGACTTCAGACAAAAAGGCCACACGCCATCCAGGTCCTTCCAGCAGCCGGAGCGGGCATCCCAGCCGGATGCCGTGCGAGGCCCCCTAATCCGCTCGAACCGGGCCCTGCGCTGGCCCTGCTGAGTGCCAGGCCCCTGCCCGGGGACCCTGCAGCCCTGGAGAGATGGAAATCAGCCCGTAAGGGTGCCAGCTCCACCTCCCTCTCAGCACTGCTTCGGGGCCCATAAAAGTCTTCCTGGCTTCCAGGGACGGCCTGCCACCCCCGCCCTTGCTGGCCAGCGCAGGCTCACGTCTGGGTTCCACCGGACAGGCCCCACCGCCCTGCCTGGGTCCTGCGAGCGCCCTGAAGGGCTTTGCACAGACGGGGCCGGGACGAGTTAACCATTGACCCGGGTGGGGACGGAGGGACGCGCGGGCGGCGGGGGAGGAAGCGGCCACACTGGGACACGAACCCGGGGACCCGCTTCCGCTGTCACGGCCCCTGCACCCTGCACAGGCGCGGGCAGCGGCTGCCGCCCCTCGGCCAGCGCGCACGTCCAGGCTGCGCGGTCACGGACGGCAGCGCGGGAAGCCGGGGC